TGACCTAATACCACTAACCCAGCCTTGAAGTGCAAATGAGCCTTGGTTATTTGAGGAGTCGGTGGTTGAGAAACATTGGGTTCCAGAGTGAGTAAAGATAACACAGTTTGGATCGTTGAAACAAGCTTGAGAACATTGCTCTAAAGTGCTGCTGCCGGAGGTTAGAGGGATACCTCCAATAACGGTGTCGCACTGAATCTGGAACGTGCGAATACACTGCTGAGGGTTTGAAGGGCACACGATATCCTCCGAGGCTGCCGTGGTTGTTGTGGCTGCTTCAGTCGTGGTTTCAGTCGTTGAATCGAGAGCAGATGTGAAAGTGGTGGTGGTRGGGTTCTCAGTTGTTGATTCCTCAGTGCTAGTAGTTTCTGCCGTTGTTTCCTCTGAAGTGGTTTCTGTTGTTGACTGCTGCGAAGTGGTTTCAGTTGTTGACTCCTCTGAAGTGGTGAACTCCGTCGTTGTCTCTTGTGAAGTAGTTTCTGATGTCTGCTGAGTTGTAGTCTCTGTTGTCAAAATCTCGGTAGTAGTAGTAGTATCTGTTGTTTCCTGGGTGGTAGGGATAGTGGTTGACTCTTCCGTAGTGACATTTATCGTAGTCTCAACGGTGGAGGCTTCTGTCGTTGTTTCTTCAACAGCGCTTGTTGTGGCTTCGGCTGTGGTGCTGGCTTCCTTTGTCGTTGTACCGATCTCAGAAGCTGGGAAATCATCGGTGGTTGATATGCGCTCTTGAGCGGTGGAGGACTCTGGTTCAACAATTTCCGTGCTGGAAATTACTTCTAATAAGGTGCTTGAATCGGACGTAAAAACGAAAGTGCTAAAGGGAACGAAGGACGACTTTGAGGTCTCTGGTGGTGGCTGAAAAGAAGATGAAATGTTTGACCATCTGAATGTGCTTGATGGGATGGGCTGTGTAATGGGATTCTTTGTCGTTACAACCCCGTTTGGCTCTGTTGATACAACCGGAGGATTGCTTTCTGTCTGGAGGGTTGAGACTCCTGGGGGAAGTTCGTCAGAGGATGAAGGGGAGGAGATGATTGGTTCAAGGGATGATGCAGATGTGAACTGTTGAGCCTCGCTCGTAGCAGCGGCGCTTGTAGTTACGTCTCCATTTACACACTCTTGAACTACAATCGGAATTAGCCTTGCGCAATCAGTAATTCAATTGTTAACTTACCTCCCATAGCGGAGAGTTGGACCGCGATACAGCCAGCAGGTTGCGAAGAAAAGGTGATATAAACTAGACCATCTGACGGGGTTTGACAGAAGCCTGCCTCGCCATTCGGAATGATTCGTGAGCTTTGGAAGCGAAGAATGTCCCCGTCGCGGAAGAATGTTCTGGTGATGGCACCACTAGGAACAGACCCCTGCTGGCCACCAAACACCTTGTAGTCCTCCCCGTTGAAGTAAATGGGGACATTGCCTTCTAAGAGCTGCCCATCCACCAAGTTGAACACATTTGCATTGCCACAAATCTCTGAAGGGGAGCCGATGAAACCTCCAAGAGCTCGCCTGCGCAATCGGTTGTCGTCCGGGGTGCTAGGGACAACACGGAAAACGATTTGCTCGTTAAGGGTGCTAGGACCTGTAGTGGAAGAAGAGGGAGCTGTTTCGGTCCCTGTAGTTACTACTGAGGAGGTAACACCTGGTGCAAAGGAAAGGGATGATGAGGGATTCAGAGTGACGGAGATATCCAGACTCGTCGACGATTCGATAGCAGGCAATGAACTCTCTGCAGGCGAGCTTGTGGCAGCTGAAATGGGGACAAGGTAAGTCGACAGGTAGGTGACACACCAAGATTCGGGCATTTGCTCCAAATCGCGAAAGGCAACAACTGGAAGGGCCAGACTGCCCAGAAGGGAGATAATCCCTGACTTGACCATGATGCTCTGTGAGAAGACTCTGGTTTGCAAAATCACAAGCAGAGCGATTATGAATATTTAAGATGCCAACAACTATTTGACATACAAGAGCAGCATTCTTGGCATGTGTCACCCAAATGAAGATGCTGATTCTTATTAGACCTGCAAGCACCCAAAGTAAACAAGTAGAGGGGTCGTGAAGATTTTTGCGCCTTCTAGAATCTAGACCTGTTCACGCCAAGAATTGGAATGTTGTTGTTGGAGAAAGTCTACAGACGAAAGTGAAACAATTTCAATGGTGAGATCTTTGGAGAATCTTAGTGGGTGATATTTGTGAGCTTATGCTTCAACGTCACGCTCGACCACCAAATTAATTCAGACTCCCTTGAAGTCATTTGAGAACAGTTATTTGGAGTAAATCAAATTGTTTCGAAAGAGCTGGGCTAGCTCGATTAAATTGAATAAGACAGCGGCCAGCGCCGGGCTGATGCAAGGGAGAAGTTTATTGACATATACATTCTGGCAGGCTTCCTACGTCACAACTGACAAACAATTGCTTAGTATAATTACTCCGAAAAGTAATTTGATCAATTTACAAAATCCGAGCAATGCAATTAGAAAGTAATCTAGGTCAGAAGCAGTAGCTGAAGCCAAGCCTTCATAGAATTGTCCACGGTTGATCAATATTGGTCAACAAGCTAAAAAGCTAAGGTGAATCAGGCGGTAAAGCAAGGGGTAAACGTGGTCTCAGTCTTAGGCTCCACGACAATCTCGAATGAAGTCCGGGTCTCTTCATTGGCTCCAAGCCTGGAGTCTCTCAAGCCGAGATGTCATCCCAAATACGTCCACCAATTTCAATGTCTTGTGACATTTTTGGAAACTCAATTTTTGGGTTTGACGTACGACGAGGTCAGGAAAATACCTCACCCAAGGCAATGCATCAAAAGCATTGACAGCCTCGGCTATGTGAGCGCCATCAACAATATTAACAAGCATTCCAGCAGGCGCAAAGCCTCCATAATGGCTACTGCAGTGCCATAAAGCAGACCTTAGCTGTGAACGGACATGGGGATTTCCAAGCTTGTTTGTGGAGTTTCATAGCCAACCCATTATCAAGTATGCTGTTGGGAACAAACTAGATTCAATGCAAGGCAAGATACTTCTGCAGTCCAAGTGAATTGATGATGCACTTGGCACCCATATAGGGAATGATGAAGCGACATGCGGTCGTCGGAGATGTTATCAGTGTAACCTATGACCATATCGCGATAAGACTCCTCATAGCTGCACCGTGAAATATTTCCTAATCGGGTATGAAGATAGGGCATTTCTCGTATCAATCGTGCTTCTCCAACTAACGTCAAGTCGTTAGAAAGCGGGGTTCATGATGCGCGTCTTCCCGTGTCAATCGTCGCGTGGAGATGAGCATAGCAATCCTCAATTGACCTATGGCTTCTCAACGGCCATTGATATCAAATGCTGAAGATTGAGACTACTAGTGGAAATTTGGACCAAAATGCGGAATATTCGCCTCGATCATTTGCCGTCGAATCGTGAGGTTGCTTCTGAGAGTGAGTGAGGTCAATGTCTGCTCAGAACCATTTACTCATTTTCTAGATTGCAAAACATGCGTGAGAAGGCGAATAAAATGCGATCGAAGCGTTCCGTCGTGCTTGAAATGTTGTAGTCGGGGACTCGATTGTCCAGGCTACGGTCTTCGCTTGAGATGGAATCAGGGAGTGGCTAGCAGAGGGCAGCTGACGGGGAAATCAGTCCCGTTACGACCTCCTATCAAACATGGTGTGCCGCGCACGCACAAACAAACAAGAACACTTTGCATCAAGAAGTCCACTGATGACGAAATTCCGCCCTATTGCCAGCCTCACATAACCACCGAAAACTCTTTGGTCGTATTGTCGCACCCAACGCAAAATGTCGACCTTGTCGATCGTCACGTCCGACAAGCAGCTCACGCAGTTCTCTTTCGACATTTCAACCTCGAAGTCGCATCAAAGCTTGCGTGGCTGGATGGGCCCAAGAACCCATGGCGAACCCTCGTGCTTCCTCTTGCACAACGCTCATCCTGTTTGCGGCTATCAACGCTGGGTTTGGCAGCAGCACATATGTCCGTTGTGTCTCCACAAGACAAGGCAGCACTTGTTCAGATTCACCGAAGTCTTCGTGATGCGACTCTTTATCATCTTAACCAGCAAATGGAATCAGAGCTGAACTGCCAAGTATCGCGGTGCGACAAGAATACCCAAGTCTCGGTTCTCATTGAGATCATTCTCACCATGATTTCTTTATGCTATGCAGAAATGTTTATACCAAACTCGACGGGATGGAAACTCCATCTCAGCGGTGTCCGCACAGGATTCGAGAGATATGACCTCGCAAACCCACACGAAAAGGTAATCTCTCAGTTCTTCGTGGAGGAACTTGACTATCTGGAGGCTTTCGGGAGCATATCCTCATTCACCTCCAGCTTGAGACGCCATAAGCCCATCTCACAGCACGCGACTTCTGATGACTACTTCAAAGAATTTACAGAAGCACTTTATGAGATTACGGTTACTGAGAGAAGCCGAAGTCGCGCTTCTAGGACAGGAAAGATACTTGTTGACACTGATATGACTGTGTGGCAAGACAAGCTCACGCGGTCCTATGACTCTGTTTGCGCCCGCATCGATTCTACCCAATCCCGGAATGTCGCTCTCCAAATGGGCCTCAAGTCTGTTCTCAAAGCCCAATACTACGCTTGCCTGGTGTACAGCTACCAAGCACTTGCTTCCGATCTCGAGAAGACAGTCGCGATCCCTCCGCTTGTTGACTGTCTTTACAACGAGGTGATCTTCATGACGTCCTGTCCAACAGAATCTGTTTCACACAACATCTCATTTCCACTGTTCATACTCGGAACAGCCAGTCAATTGTACCCCGAGAAGCAAGTTATGATCGAAAGCCTTTTTACCGAGAACATAGCTGCGACAGGTTTCTCATGCAACTCGGCAGTACTGGAGTTCTTGAGAGACTTCTGGAACGCAACAGCAGCTGGAGTGACTCCGAACTGGATACAGTATGCGAGAGACAACGAGGAGCGGATAAGCCCATTTATTGTGTTCTGATCATAGGAGCATGACTTTACATGAGTACTGTCTCTTCATCCTCCACTCCAAACAACACCTTCATTGGGTCTTGATAGTTCATGAATCCCAACGATGGCTTACAAACGCCATAGCCAAGCAGTCTTTGCGCTTGTGGTGTGAGCTGCCTCGCTCGCTCCAATGGCACCATGAGGAACTGGTTCTCCGCAGGTCGAAGAGTCGGCTTGCAGAGGAAGATGCCCACTGTCTCACGATACTCGTTTCTAAGCACTCAGTCAGTACGAGGCTAGCTAGTAGTGTTATTGGGCTTGTACTTACTGGGTAATGTTCTGGCCGCCAGCATGGTACAGGTTGCCCAGAAAGATGAAAGCATCACCTGGCTCTAGTTCTGCGGGAACAGCTTCTTCATCATATGGTCGTCGCTCACTATCCCAGAGATGAGATCCCGGGATGCCGATCGTCGCCCCGTTCTCCCGGGTGGTTTTGGTGAGAGCTGTCACGCAGCCAATCATGACTGGGAGCTCTTTGTCGTGGGGATGATAGTCGCTGCCTCCAATCAGAAAATGGTTCCAGACTGGTGCACCTCTTGCAAGATTGTTCTATCGCTGATTCCAGACCGTGGCAAAAGGGAATACTCACTCATCATCTCGATGCAGAACCTGCTGTTTGCCACCTGGATTGACCCGAAACGCCACAGTCGACGAAATAATAGGCTTCCCGCTCACAGTAATCCTCTTCTCCCGTTCCCAGTACGTCAGTGAGGAAGAGCACAGCTCATTTGCAACATCGATGTAAAGAGGATTACAGGCGAGTTCAACACACGCATCAGAAACATTAAACAAGCCAGTTGCTCTTTGGGTAGTGACGGGGAAGAATCCAGACAGGTCTGGAATATCGGAGTCAAAATGCGGTTTGAGGTCTGCTCTGATCTGTTCTGCCAGCTGCCGAGATATAAGGTTCTCGACAATCACGCCCCCGTCACGCTTGATGGCTGCGACAAGGTTCTGTGGCGTCGTGGATGGTTCCGCTGCGTCGAGACGCGCAAAGGATGGTTTAGTGGTAGCAGTGCTCAATGAAGCCATTTTGAAACAGTGGTAAGTGCTATAGTTGCTATTGAAGTTCCACTGAAGCCTTGAGCATTATTTATAGACGTTATCATGACTTCCTTCATCTTGATATGACTCTATCGTTACAGTGAAGCTGCATTCAATGGTCCTCACTAGCTCGTCACTAATCCAAGATAGGTTGGTCGGCAGAGAAAAGCCCAAGCCACTTTCACATCGATCCAAGGTCTGGGAACTCACATGAGCACGCTAACCCGGCCTGGGCTGGTCGGGAGAGAAACGGCAGCGCGGTGTATTCCGGGGAAGGCTTAACTTGGCTGCCCGGGAGAGAAACGAGGCGCTTGCGTGGAATGATGGCAGCTGTAAACGATAGCAGGCTAGTTCATCATTGGTGGTTGCTGTCCTGGTGTTATCTTTCCCCGCATTCTCGACCAGGATCTAGATTGCAGTATCTGGTCATGTTGCTTTGTTTATTCGCATTCGGAAATTGGTTATGGATCTTCCCGCTCTCAGTCCTCCATCGCAAACTCTCCCTTTAAAGCATTGTTCCCAAATTGGTTCCTATTTTGCATCTTGGCATTGTTCCTAAACTCCCCAGTCCATGATCGCGCCACATTCTCAACGACGATATCATCTACCTCCGAACTCCACTGGCTATGGATCCCCCTAAAGACGACATCAAGGCTGAGCCAATCTGTTACGATGGATCCGTCCTCGAAGGCAGCCAGTCTCAGTATGATACCGACGATGCGTATCTCAAGTCCCTCGGAAAGTCGGCCGAGTTGCATCGCGTCTACAACTTCTGGACATGTGAGTCTTTTTCATCAGTTCCTTGGTCTTCCTTACTGACAGCAGTACAGTATGCGCCTACCAGGTCATGATCAGTGCGACATGGACGTGTGTCGTCGTTTTCTACGGTGTCATCTTCGACGTTGGTGGACCAGCCTCTCTTCTCTATGGGTCCATCATCGTCGCCGTCGGTCAAACGTTACTCATGGCCTCGCTCGCTGAATACTGTGGAATCTGGCCTACTGCAGGTGGTCAACAATTCTACGTCCAGAAGTTGGCAACCGAAAAGTACCGACCCTTCCTTTCATACTTCGTCGGTTGGTGTCTGCTACTAGCTGAGACTGCGACTGGTTCTTCCTGTGCCCTGAATACCGCGAACATCATTGGTACGATGGTGTCCATTTTTCACCCAAATGTTGACTGGAAGGTACTTGAGATAACTCGCTCTCCTGTGGTGCCATACGCTGACGCTCTAAGCCTTACCAAACCTTCTTGATCTATCTCGGATTACTGGTCATTCCGTTCTTGATGAACTTGAAGCCCAGTGCACTCCCTCTATACAGTACCGTTGGCGCCGTCTTCACTATCCTGGGCTTCTTTGGCTGGGCTATTACTCTCCTCGCCACAGCCCCTAAGGCCAGTGCAGAATTCGTATTCACTAAGTTTATCAACAATTCAGGATACACCAATAACGGATGGGTGTTCATTCTTAGCTTTTATACTCCTCTATATGGCCTTTACGGCACGGATAGTATGATGCACTTGGTTGAGGAGATGAAGAATGCATCTCAGGATGCACCAGTAAGTCTCTTTTCTTGATAAGAGCTCAGGGTACTGACACGACACAGAGAGCTATGGTTTGGTCTATGGTCCTTTCTGGCGTTGCTACCATCGTCACTGATCTCATCCTACTATTCTGCTGCGGTAACTATACCGAGTATGTAACAGCACTGTAAGTCCCGCTTGCCCGTTCCATCATCACTCAAGCTTATGACCAGGTCACCGTATGTCACTTGGTTCTCGGACGTAGCGGGAAGCGAGTACGCTGGTATCTATGTTGCAATAGTCTTTGGCGTTGTGAACGTAAGTCCGCAGACCTCACTTGTTTATATCGACATCTAACTCTCGAACTTTCAGCTGCTTGTCTGTACCGGTATTCTTTCTTCTTGTTCTCGTCTAGGTTGGCGCATGGCGGAGGACAGGGCATTTCCATGGTCCCACCGTCTCCAGAAGATCGATCATAAGCTCCAGATCCCATTGAACTTCATCTTTGCCATCATGGTGGTTGAGGTTATCATTGGGCTTATCTCTCTGGGCAGTGAACTGGCATATAACGCTATCGTCAGTGGTGCTGGTGTTTGTTTCGCCCTCGCCTACGCGATACCCGTTACGGTGGTGAGTACTGCTCATTGACGTTATTATTTGGCTGCTGACGCTTTCAGCAGGCTCTTGTCCGAGGCCGTTCAATTCTTCCGCCTCGTCCTCACTTTGATCTTGGCAGATGGGGATACTTTGTGAATTATGTTGCTGTTGCATGGGCCATGTTGACCATTGTCATATACGTGTAAGTGCTACATAACAGACTTCAACTGGCCTCCCTTGACTAACTCCCAACCAGCATGCCTCTATATCTACCAGTCACGGGCGAAAACATCGGAAATATGAACTGGGCGTCGCTCATTGTCGGGGCAACGTTCCTGTTTTCCGGTGTTTGGTGGGTATTCGGAGCAAGATTTAGATACCTGAAGGAAGCCCCCTTTGAGGCGGAGCCAAACCCTGTAGCGAGAGAGCAGTCTAGTAGTTTTTGACACCGCTGCATCTTCGCTAGAGACGATTAGAACTAATTGTAGGAGATTGATGGGATATCTCGCTTCTTTGACAGACGTCGATGATTCAATGGAAATAGGGAGTAGACATTAAACATTAAACATTATATATCGAAGCATATATCTTATAGCCGTACATAACCATAACCTTGACTCCTTTTATGCTGGCATTTCACTGCCAGGATAGAAACGCATAGCAACATAATCTAATAACATTTCCTGCCATATAAACACCAACTTCAAATTTCCCTCGAGTCGTGACAGCTCATATTCGAAATCCTTTAAGATCCTCCCCATTCCACAACCGATCTTATGCTCTCAGCCCATCACTCATCGCGATGGACCGACTCGAAACGGAGACGTCGGAAATCAAGTTCATCCTTGACTACCATCACTCGCTTGCACGATAGCCCATGTGAGATACATGCCTCCTGGGATGAACCAAGTTCAGTCAAATGGCGTACTGGCTGCGAAACCACATCGCCCAAACAATACCATACGTCCACTGCCGCATGGTCGTAAAAGTAGAACAGCCGTCTCCGAGACTCATCAGGTCCAAGGCCCATGACGAGCCATGCGACGGTGTCAACATCGAAATTCTCGTCCTCTACACAATGCAAGCGAGCGCTCATTTTGGCAAATCGTTCGAGAGAAAGTGAGATTGCGCTTACGGGTTCTGCGGACGACGGTGAGCGAGCGGCTCGGCGTCTGCGTGTCGTGACGCATTTGGCCAAGTGCCCATGATCGTCATGGCCATCTTGGTGTTCGGAAAGGCCAGGGTATTGATCGCCAGCCCAGGGATCGGGGTCACCGCTAGACTGGCGGTTCTTTGGATTTCCTGGTGTTTGCCAATTATCGTTATCATGTCCTTCGACAGCTCGTGGTGATGCTTCTCTTGGGTAGTTGCCAGCGTTCTGGTTCCACGACATCTCCATATTACTCAAGGACACTGGCGAGGTTCCTCTAATTGAGTTGAAATTTGGCGTCCAATGCGCTCCAACTGCGACAGCAGCATCTGGAATTTCGTTCACGCAGTCTCTATCTTCCAACTCAGACTTGATGCCCGGCTGTGTGTTTCTGAGAATGTCCTCGATGGAGAAGTGTATTCCGGATAGAGACTTCGGGTACGATCTCCATAAGTGACGTCGCTGGGGACAGATTCGTTGCAGTATAGTCTTCTGAAGCTCTCTGGTGTTGTTTTTCCATGTATCCAAGTATCGACCACGTGGTGCTCCGCCAATGTATCGCCACGGAAAGATAGGGATGGGGCGAATGCCTTGCACTGGACATTCAAGGTTAGTGAGGGAAGCCCGTATTGTTTAGCTAGGTACTTACGGTAGATAAGCCAGGTCCAAAGGTGGATCACGTAGTCATAGAAGCGCCCACGGGGTCGCAAGCTGAAGTCATTCACAAACTATGCCTTGACTTCAATCTTGCATTCCTTTTCGATATTCATGAGTTCGTTTGACTCTGTTTCTTCGCGCATCCATCTCAAGAACTCAAACATATAAGTCCGTCTGCGGGGTGCGGTCGCATTTTCATCAACCCAAGATCCTGAGAAGAAGCCAGCGTTGCTTGACTGTTCCGATTCGCAGAGTGTGTGCGGCAGTTGAAGCGGAGGCATGCCAGGGAGATGGAACGCGAGGGCGCGTTAGAATAGTATGGGCGAAAAGGGAGAGACAGTTATTTTGTTCCGTCGAGATGCTCAGAAATCGTGGTGTTGTCCTGCGAAATTGACGAAACGCGAAAAGGCAAAACAATTCTCAAGTTCGACAACAGTCCTGAAGCGCATCACGTGCAAAGTTCGCGTTATGGGAGTTCGCGTGCGAATTGGCAGCTGTCAGTCACTGTCGAGGCAAGAATATGTCCGACAGTGCTAAGCTCTGCAGTGCTGAGCCGAAACGCTACAGTGCATACCTCTTTGGGTCGGCTTGTGGCGGTTACCCTTGTGAAGAAAGCTAATGTCAAAAGGAAATCCAATGTGGCTATCACTCAAGGCATGATGGATGTAGGTAGTCGAAAACTGGGTTAGGGTGCTGACCGTGTTGACTGTATTTCGACTATCAACTCTCCGGCACGGAACTTATATGACACAATAGACAGTAAACATTGCTTCCAAATACGGGTCAGGATTGTTGAAGGAGGAAATAAAACTGGTCTATCTCAATACCCATTTATACATGAGTAGGAAGTCTCTTGACTCTCTCATGCCCCTACTCATCCCAAATAGTAGCCACAACATCTCCGGTAAGCTTCACCTGGGCCAGCTTTCCGCCCTCCTGCTCCGTCACGATCTTGCCACTCTTAACATCGCGCTTCCAGATAACAACTGTCTGGTTGACCTGATGACCAACCGCAATCTTGTCGCCAGCCTTGTTGAATGAGAACTGGCGGGGCAGATATCCGCCAGACGGGACAGCCTGGATAGGCTTCAGTGTGCCATCCTCATTGATCTGGAAAACTGTGAGGGTGTCGGAAGGGCCAGATCCACGCTGGGGAGAGTTGGCGAAAGACTTCTCGCGGTTGGTGACGATCACAAAGCGCTGGTCGGGCTGATTGAAAGTCAGTAGGACTCACGGGAAGGTTTGTGGTGACTTACGCTCATGGCGATTTCGCTAATGGGAGCCGTGTTGGGAGGAAAGCTAGCGTTCAGCGATGGAATCTCAAAGACCTTTGTGAAAGAGAGACCAGTGCGTGTGTACTTGACGCTGTAAGAGTACACCTTCTGGTCAAGCTCGCCGTCAAAGAAGAAGAAAGTCTCGCCATTCCTCATAACTCTGAAGAATCCATGGCGTGGTCCAGAACCACGAGGGGCACTCAAGCTGCCTACCTCAGCAATGGGAGCAAGAGTGTTCTTGTCGTAAGTAAAGACGCGGACGACATCACCACCGAGATCAGGTGTAAGGACGTATTTTCCAGTAGGATCAGTAATGACGTGGTGGAGATGGCTTGCTTCCTGGCGGTCCGCAATGGGGCCAGTCTGGCTAATTTTCGTAGTCAACTCTTGGAGCGGTGCGGTACCGGGAATGGTACCCTTGTCGCCGAGGGCGTACACAGATGCTACGCCTGGAGTGCTACAGCATGTGAGTAACTTCAATTCTAAGGATTGTTGACAACCTACTATGAAGCACTGAAATAACCGCGCTTGCCATTTGCCCCGGTAATAATCTCGCCCGCCACAGCGCCTCCTACGACAGACTTGACGCGAGAAACGCGCTTCAAGACACCCTTGTCGCCAATGGTGAAGGAGTTCAATGATCCAGGCGGTTGGAAGTTGAGACCACGATCCAGACAATAAAGCACATTGTTGGGCTTGTCAAGGGTGAGCCAATTAGGTCCGGGGGAGCAATCGGTCGTTTTTGAGGTGACGGAGAGATCGAAGCCTTTGGCGGATTCGGTGAGGCTCAGAGTGCTCAGGTTGCCGCCGTAGTCCGCTACGAAAAGGTTGACGGCTTGGCTAGGCGCTGCCAGAACGGCAGAGCCTAGAAGCACACTGAGTAGTTTACCATGCATTTTAATGAACTGGACACGAACTGAAGAGAGCGAGAAACAAAGTTCATCAACCTCGAGCAAGGGACGGCATAGAGTTATATTATCCTCGGAGGATACTCCTCCGAGTACTACAGAAGTCAAAGATCCACGTATATCCAGGGTATATTTGAGTTCGGTTATCGGGCAGATTCCCCGCGATGGAGAGATGTATATCCTCCAATGGTGAGGTCACCGCTTGACACCCTGACACGTTTGTCTTTAATTAATCTCAATTATGCCACGGCCCTTGTATTTACTTTACGAAACTTGAAACGATGCTAGCAGTTAAAATGGCACCTTATCCGCGGTGATCCTTTTTCCGTACCCGCTTTTCCGTGGCGACTTTAGCCTAAGAAGGATTCTAGAAAGTCAATTCAGCGGAGTGAAGTACTCTTTACGTCGGTGACGAAGAGTGTCACAATTAAAGGCAGTCCATGAAACAGTGGCGATAGAGACAAGGCATAAAACTGCAAAAAGAATGATCACGCTGGGGATCGAACCCAGAATCTTCTGATTCGTAGTCAGACGCCTTGCCATTGGGCCACGCGACCTCGTCTCTGCTGACTAATACTCACGTAGCTCAGAAAACGCGTCCAGAAACCAAATCCCAGATCGCGTCGTCAGGTCACCAACCATAGCGATATTGTATCTTCAGCTGGAGAGTGTTTCCAAAGTTACACTAAATTTAAATATCAGTGATGTTATTAAAATGAAGCAGGTTTTATCCAATGATTTAATATGCAGTCTATCTTTTTAGGTTTGTGAATACCTATGATTTGTCTTTGCTCCTGAACATTAAATCACAATCCTTTGTGACGATTTTCTCAAACCACATTCTTAGCACAGTATTGCATTTTAAAGCGCAATTAGAAAGATGAATTTATGGAGTACGGCAAAATATTTCTCGCTGTAACACACGACTTCTTCATTTCTGGAATCGACAGCTTTGTTCTCCACGTCGCAAAGTTGTAGCTACCCTACAACTCACTTAGGTACAGTTTGGCGACCAACGACGACATTGAAAAATTCGCTGACTGATCGAGCCAATGACGTATCCAATCCGACCCTGGGACTAACTGCCGATAACTGTGTCCGGCTGCCGGAAATCCTCAACTTCCGGGATGTGGAGTATCATCCGACGTCTCAAAGCCCGTGTCCCGAGCTTCGGATCACACCGTCCCCACAACGACGACGTATTGAAACGCGGGGTTTAGAAATGATAAATTGCTTGCAGTGGAACTGAATTGAAGGCTGGTACTCATTGAACTGTTATTTGTCATTCACCATTCATCATGGCGGCTCCTGTTAATCTGAAAGATCTCACTATTGATAATATTACCGAGAATGTTCACGCCATCAATTCTCAGTGCAGCAATCTGCGCCTGAAGTACATCCTTGAACGAGTGGTCACACATTTACATGACTTGGCGAGAGAAACAAGACTCACTACAGACGAATGGATGACAGCTATCCAATTCCTGACCCAAGTTGGTCAGATCTGTACGGATGTCCGACAAGAGTTCATCTTATTATCTGATATCTTGGGCTTGTCTCTCCTGGTGGACTCAATTGACCACCCGAAACCCAGAGGCAGCACTGAAGGAACCGTCTTGGGTCCGTTTCATACGCACGAGGCGGAGCATGTCAAAGAGGGAAGCCTGATCTCCCAGGACTCAGAGGGCGAGCCGCTTCTTGTTCTATGTACCCTCAAAGATGTGAACGGATCACCAATCCCCGGAGCAAAGATCGATGTCTGGGAGACAGACTCTAAGGGGTTTTACGATGTTCAGCACGCTGACCGGACTGGCCCGGATGGAAGAGCTGTACTGACCAGTGACGATAATGGAGATTTTTGGTTCAAGGCCATTGTACCAGTGCCATATCCTATTCCTCATGACGGACCCGTCGGAAAGTTGCTTAAAGTACTGGGCCGACATTGCTACCGACCCAGTCACATGCACTTCATGTTCAAGAAAGACGGATATGATCCTCTGATCACGTAAGTCTGCCCTCATCTGGCACCTCGACTGTATCTGACAAGTACCTTTGTAGTGCACTTTACCTCAAGGACGATCCTTACGAAACCACTGATGCTGTGTTTGGTGTCAAGGATTCGTTGATCGTTAACATCAAGAAGGTTGAAGACGAAGAAATGGCGAAGAAGTATGGTGTCAAAATCGGTTCCGCCCTGATGACATATGACTTTGTTCTCGTCTCGGATGAAGCGGCTGCGAAACTTAGGAGGGAGAAGGCTGAGGAGGCAATGGCGAAATTGGGACGGAGGTTCCGATTTATTGATGACCTACCTGTTCCGGATGTCGATTAGAGAGTTGTCACGCATAGTGGACAGCTCACTTGAAATTGGTCATGAGATAGGCTTTAGCTAGACGAATGATAATACAAT